TTAAATGCTAGTCGAATAGCGCGTTGTTCTTAAGCCGAGTCGTTAGTTATAGCTACTATAGGCTTCTAGCCGGGTGCCTATTTCTTTAATACTTAAAGCCTAGCCTTAAGTAGCTTTACTCGCTAGCTCTATAGCAATATATGCCCCCCTAGTATCTAGAAGCCGAAGGCATTACAGATATAGACTATAAATAGGTAGAAGTTATTATCGGACGTTTTATAGGTCGTATCGAAGAGAAATAACTATATATAGACGGTTAGTCGTTACTATCGAAATTTGTATATTAGGAAGAAAGTCGGAAAGCTAATGCCTAAGGTACTAATAGCTAGGAAATAGGGACCGGAAATAGGAACCTATATCTCTAGCAATACTATTATTTAGCAACTTACGCTACTAGTCGGCCTGCTATATAACACCTTTATACTAGAATGCCTCTATACGGATAGAGAGAGCCTTATAGGAAAGTCCTACGCCTATTATATCGTCTGTAAGAGGGCCGAGATAACGATTAAGGTTGTCTAGCTATAATCGAATATTGCCCTTCTTAGTTAGGGACACCCTCTTTAGGTTCTTCTTAGCAGACTACTTTATAATACCCTTCTTTGCATAGTGCGCTCTAATAATAGTAAGACGACCTATATTAGTACTCTCCTTTAGCAGGTAGAATATATAAGCCGTTTTATAGTTATACTAATCTATTAAGTGTTCGATAATAACCCGGAGGCCGTTACTAGAAGCCCTTACATCCTATAACTAGTTAGCTTCGTAATACGACTTAATCTACTATATTAACCTTACTATATAGTCTATCGTATAACTATAAATATTGTTGTTACTATACGCCGAATCGCGGTCTCCTCGAGCGACCTTATAGCTATAAGGCTCCTTATCCGCCTTCCGATCGAATACTACGATTATAGCTATCGACGCGTCGTATAGGTTCTTATAAAACTCTACCTTATAGATACTAATACCTAGCTCTCGATTGCGATTAAAGTTACGCCGATAACGATAGTAGTATATCGTCCGCTACGATAACCTATCCTTATAACGAGCGCCCTTGTGTTTCTCTTAGAAGTTAGTTATAAAGGGCTATATCTATTTAAACTATTCTTTCGGTATAAAGGAGCCTTAGGTTAACGGACTAAATAGCGAATAGCGTAGTTAATAGGTTATAGAAATAGGGATAAGATAAGCTATATTAAAGAGCTAGATTAAATAAGTTAATAAGTATTATAGTAATAATAGACAGCTATAGCGACTTTAGTAATACCTCCTATATAGAAAATAGGCCCTATACTATTAGGTTTCGATAATATAAAGTTAGAGACCCTAGCATCCGCGGAATGCCTGTTTTAGCTAGCAATATTAACACTTCTTAGATCCGGTTATCTACGAAGGAATGCCTCGGAAATTATATATAGGGCTAATCGGCCGGGCACTAAAATCTTCTAACAACTGCTTATAATTTTCTCTTCTGTACAATAAATCGCAGACCCGACTCGCTATGCAAAATCGTATGTCTAATACACGGCAGGGGGGAGACATCTCCTAGCCAAAAAAAAAAAAAAAAAAAAAAAAAAAAGAAAAGAAAAGAAAATATTTTCGATCTCGTCTTACTACAGACCAAGCGGAGATGTTAGGCTTGTTTAGTAACAAGAAAGACAACCCGACCGCCAGGCATTTCGATATACCAGTCGCCGGCAGCGAGAGATACAAGGCTTTAAAGAGACTAAGTGCAGAGTAGCGGAAAGGTGACAACAGGACTGCTAGCAGAAAAAGTGCAGCCTTCGGTGCCTCCCTACCTATTACAAAATTCTTCGCCCTTAAAGCGTAGAAAGATGGATTGCCAGTTGTCTTCCTAGAGCTAGCGACAATTCCCTCGCAGTTGTCGGGCAAGGAGCTATTTTCTACTACACCTGCCTACAGTACCGGCATTAATCTATATAGGGGCAGCATAGTCGTGTTCGTCGACCCTATATAGCTAACTAACGAGGTGATCTAAGTTGTTTCTCGCTTCGTCCGCAAAGCATATGCTAGAAGCGAGAAGAAACAGAGACCCAACTAGCAGAGACACACGACCTAAGACTTACGTACGGGCATAGCATCCGCTACACGGTCGGATTCATCGGCAAGTTTATTCCAAAGCTTAATATGTCTATAGAGGTAGGGAGACTAAGAAATTAGGGGGACAGAAGGCTGCTAGACGTCAGCTTAGTTCATTTTATACTAATAACCAAGATTCCGATCTGCTAAGGCGAGAGGTAGGCGCTTGATACGTGTGTACCTTGATTACAGCCTAATTCGAGCTACCGCACGCAAGAGGAGCTAGCGAAGCGGGCGATAGGAGCTTAATGCATACATACTTTGATTACAGTTTGATTAGAGATACCGTAAGGAAGAGGAGCTAGCGAAGCGGGCGATAGGAGCTTAATGCATGCATACTGTAATTACAGTTTAATTCTAGCTACCGTAAGTAAGAGGAGCTAGCAAAGCGGGCGATAGGAGCTTAATACATACATACTTTAATCACAGTTTGATTAGAGATACCGCAAGTAAGAGGAGCTAGCGAAGCGGGCGATAGGAGCTTAATATATGCATTCTTTAATTATAGTTTAATTAGAGACACTATAAGTAAGAGGGGCGGGCGAAGCGGGCGATAGGAGCTTAATACATGCATACTTTAATCACAGTTTGATTAGAGATATACTAATCACAGCTTATTTCATATACAATAGAAAAGCTTTTCTTCTAAGGAAAAAAAAAAAACTAAAAGAAAAAAAAAGCAGCAACACCGGAATCGTAATATAACTAGAACAATGCTCCTAGGAGCCTACTTTGGATTCTATCTATAGTATATGTTGGTTTTGGCCTTCACTTTCGCATTCTTAGTATTCTACTATATCGGACGTAGTCGTGTTACGCTTCTGCTTCGACTTGATCCTAATACGGCCTAAAGCAGTCGGGTTGCGGTCTTTTTGATTCATCGTAAAGCAGTCCGTAACTAAGCTAATCGAAAAACTTGTAGCAGCATAGACGGCATTAGTGTTACGCGGTTGGCCGTATCCTAGAGTACTGTCCGCACACTTGCCGAAGAAGTAATAGCAGAGGACATATAATTAGAAACGCGTTCGGCGATACGACTCGGCCTCTCCCGTAGGAGCGGGCAAATAAGATCGATTAACCAAGTGTATATAGAACTCGTAGCCCGGGTATTTCGAAGCTAGAGGATCGAGGACTATTATTAAGGGGAGCGGTAGAAAGTAGCATTGCATATAGTAATAGAGCATATCTAGCTAGAAGTGGAGGTAAGTGCAGCCTTACTCGGCATAAGTGCTTAGGTTCGTAAGGACGCTATCTAGTCTAGCACGCTTAAATGCTAGTATCTAAGCTTCTTCGGCTATACGAATTTCATTGATGTTCGTAGCATTTCTAGCCTAGATGTTAGAGAGACATAGAGGATCGAGATGCACCTAACGACTAGAGCAGACACTACTAGCTGCACATACCGACGTCCGATAGCTATTTTGTACGAAAAGCTTATATATAGTATGCGAAGGATTTCCGTATAGGCTGTTCTCGTCGAGATGAGAGTAGGTAATAGGAGAGCATTAGAGCTAGGAGCTGTATAGGAGCGAGCGAGCTTTAGTACTGTCGAGTCGGCTAAGGAAGATCTGTATTACTAGTCGAATCTGTAGATTGTAGTATCGGACTGTACAGTTAGGGCGTAGGCACCTATATAAAGGCCCTATAACTAGGATGCCTATAGTTATGTGTTTTAGATTATAGCGAATCTGCGGTAATCGAAAGCATCGCGTCTCGTCGAAGTACTTATAGATTCTCGTAATATTAAAAGGGCCTCTATACCCGAGCTAGTATACAATATCGAAACCTCGAACGCTAATTATATATTGAAAAGTACGATCTTCGAGTAAAAGAGGGAGGTACGCCTAAGGAACGCTCGAGTCGCTATCTAGAGCTCCTAGGAAATCCCTAGTCTAGGTAACGGCTATAATCCAACGATGCTAATAAACGAGACCGAATAGACAAGTTTGTACATTAAAGACATCTCTCTCGTTAAAGGGCAGTCGTCGTTAGAGAAATGCCTTTCGTATTATATCGTCTAGACCTCTAAACTAATCTGCATCCCGGCACTTGCACTAGTAGCGCTAGTAATTACAAAAAGCGTACTTGGCGGCGGGCGTATAGTCGGAGCTGATTGTAGTAACCTCCATCTCTAGCTCTTCTTGGATCCGGCGCCTCCGAAGCATGTTCTCTATAGTAGCAGTCTAGGCTTAATTCTTTCGTATTTGCCTCTTAACAATAGGAGCGGCGCCGTTAGAGAAATCGAGGTCGCTATCGTAGGAGCGCGTTCTCTCTACAACAGATTAGTTAATATTGATCTTTGCTAACGTAGATTAGACCTACTAGTAGAGCGCGCTATCTCCTCGTCGAATTTACAGGAAGGGCGACAACGGTAATAGAGGTACGTATCCTCGATGCTGCAATAAGACTCTAATTAGGCGTCGTATAGTAAATTAAAGTGTAATAAGGGCGTTACGTATAAGAATCAAAGTGTGATTACGCGTCACGTATAAGAATCAAAGTGTAATTACGCGTTACGTGCAGAATCAAGTTCTAGTAGTAGCGTCACGTATAGAATCAAATTCTAATTAGAGCGCCAAGTGTAAATCAAGGCCTAGCGCGAGTATTACGCGCAAAATCAAAATATAATAAGGCGTTACGCGTAGAATCAAAGTATAACAAGGCGTTATATATAGAAGCAACAAGGCGTTACGTATAGAATCAAAGCATAACGAGGCGTTACGCGTACAATTAAAGTATAATCAAGTTCTATATATTACGTCGTGTATAGAACCAATCTCTAGTAGTAGCGTCTCGCTTATATAGAATCAAACTCTAATAAGGGCGCCTCGTCTAATAAAAGGGATTACGGCGTGGCTAAAGTTTGTAGTATAATAACCCGATTGACAGGGTGTATGTCGGGCATAAGCATCACTATCGGCAAGAGTGATCTTCGTCTAAGTTGACATCGTCTTGTTCGACATAGGAATCCTTATCTTAGTGGATATGCGAATCCTTATCCGAGTTCTGCTAGATATCTTCGTCTTGATCGACGTGTGAGTCCTCGTCCTAGTGTTGGACAGTCTTAACCGACGAGGAGAGTTTGTAATATCGTTCGGGCATATATGCTTCTAATAGTATGCCGCTGTATACAAAGGGAAACCAAGCCTCCGTGGCCCAGACTGTGGCTGAGACAAGATAGCCTAGCCTTGTATTCGCGCTTCGCCCTGCCTAATATAGAAGACGCCGTCAAATTCCATTACCGCTCCACTTTGAGCTTCGAAGCCCTTAGAGGCAACATAGTCGGCAGAGCAGGCGTTAACGTAGTCGAGTAGGCAAGCCTCGATAAGAAGAGATAGGGTCTAAGGGCACGTGAAATTTCTTTTGACTGCTTTGAGCCGTCGACTCCTCTGAATGCGTGTGCTTAGCTAAGAAGAGCTTCGTCATTCCGAAATGTCGGTCAGAACCGCTATAGAGCAAAGAAAACATACCCGTACCTCGAAAGATCTCCCCGTTAAGGAACTTATTCGATTAAACTATAGCATATATGCATACACCGTCCTCGAGCTAGTTTGAGCCTTTAACTTCGACAGACGCGTATGCTCTATTAGGAAGAGCTTCACATTCTAGAATGCTAATAGCATCGAAACACAGCAGCGAAGGACAATGTTCTACGTTACGCGGCTAGTATAGTAAATAGTAGAGTTCATCGAGCAAGGTAATAGCGATAAAGAGGAAGTAGAGTTGAGTTTGAAGACGTAATATATAACGCGACCCGAGCGGCCCGAGGAGCGCAAAAGCCCTAGCTAGAACCAAGAATACGCAGTCGTGCGACGGGCTACGCTATATAGTATCTACTCAGCCCTTAGTTATACCAATCAATTCTGTCTCTATCCCTATCGGTACTATACTACGACGCACGTGCTTATATATCTTAGTTGCAATTCCCGTACTCTTGTTTAGCTCGACTTCTTCGAAAGCTATACCAAATCCATACGTGCTCTTAAGAAACAACTTAAGCTCGTTTTCTAGCTCTGCGCTATATGCCTAAACCTAACGTCTATGAATGTCCTTAAACGGTAGCCTATGTAACACCTCCGCCTCGTCTTTATTAGAAGCCTTCGAGAGCGACGACGCCTGTTTTTTTTTTTATAAGCATTGTCCTACGACTGATAGTGTAAAGCACTTACCTTTCCCGTAATCTTTGTCGATATAGTCTTCTACTTGCCGCCGACGTTGCCTCCGCGATTATCTACCTTTCGCTTTAGTAGTAGAGCTCTATATTCGGATGATTCCCTCTTCCGCTTGCCGCCGACATTGCTACCGCGATTATTTAGTTTTCGGTTTGATAGCGGAGCGCTATGTTTAGGTAATTCTCCCTTCCGCTTGCTTGTATCTTAAAAGAAATTATCTTCCGATATGTGTATATAGCCCTCCGGGAGGTGTGCATACTTAAGCTCTTCTTTTCGGCCGGTAATCTGCTAGCGTCGCGTAGTCGTAGACTTATAAGGGATTAGTACAGGCGGACGTAGAGTGTCTAGAGGATTTAGGCGATTCTATATAGTAGCTCGAGTGCCTCGCGTGCCTTTAGTTAACGGATTGTTTAACTCCTTTACGCGGCGACGAGCGTCTATAGCACGCCTAGGGTAACGTTCTTCGCGGGCGTATATATCGTTATTATCGTCGTTATCGTCGTCGGTAGCAGGAATGTTATCTTTACTACCTTAATGCCGTCTAGTCTCGTTATCCTCCTTATCCTCCTCGTCCTCTTTAGATTCCTTATCCTCCTCGTTCTCTTTATCCTCCCTATCCTCGTGCTCGCTTTTATACTATATTAGGCGAAAGTATAGATGTAGGTAGCGTAGGAGAGAGTTATGCTAACAACGTCGTTAGTTAGCATCCACATCGGCGAAACAATATCCTAAAACCTCCTAGCAGTACGAAAGCACGAGTACTCCGGATAGCGTAGGACGTCCGGATATGTCGATGTTACTAGTACCGCTTCCGACAACGTGAGACACTCTTCTTCTCCTTCTATATCCTATGTAACTATACCGGTACGGTATAGGGCAGTAGAGCCCCTAAAATGTAGGACCCTCGATATCTTATATAATGCGTAGGCGGATGCAGAACTAGATATCCAATTAAGGTCTAATTAAAGTTGAGGCCCGTATCGGTTGTCTCGGCGAGGAGTAAGGCTTAGTAGATACAGAGGCAGATGCTAAATTAAGGTCTAATTAAGGTTAAGGCCCGCGTCGGTCGTATCGGCGAGGAGTAAGGCTTAGTAGATACAGAGGCAGATACTTAATTAAGGTCTGATTAAGGTTAAGGCCCGCGTCGGTCGTTACGGCGAGGAGTAAGGCTTAGTAGATATAGAGCTAGATGTTCAATTAAGGTCTAATTAAGGTTGAGGCCCGCGTCGGTCGTTACGGTAGAGAGCAACAGTCTTTAGGGTCGCTTAGGATTATATAGAACATACCTCTTTCTCAAATAAGTCGAGCTATGCCTTTATACGAGCTTTAGCATTCTTTTTCGTAGGCTTATTACGCGGTAGGCGTAGGATATTATCTCTTTCGAACCTCGACTATAGTCCGTCTCTGTACGCTTAATATAGCTTGTTGCGGTGTTCTTGTACGTTCTTTTTCTTCTTCTTGTTGCGTTGCTTCTGTCTCTCTTAGTAGCTAGGCGCTAGTTATGCCGGTGTTTTAGTAGAAGTAAGGAGGGCAGCTATATACGTTAATCCGGCCGCGAGCGCGTTACTAATTGATCTGTATGCTATCTTAGTTGTAGTAGAAGGGTACGAATAGAGACAAAGTAGGCATACTTTTTTTTTTGTTGTTTGGTTTTTTTTTTTGTAGCCGAAATAAGCTTCGCGCTATCCCTATCTGCACGCCCTATATATCGCGGGGCGCGTATCGCGCGCGTTACCCTACTATATGTAATTCTCACTTTGCTATTATATAATCTCTTTACTATAAACATTCGCGTATCGCACTTTTATTATAGCTACGGTCGTAGCGCTAAACGACGGCGCATTCGCAGAATACAAATAGGACCTAAACTATAAGCATACCTTCGACACCTTCTTCTCAAACTACAAACGCCTATAGCAACAGATTAAGGATGCCTATATAGAGGAAAGCCGAACAAGAGGAATATTCGATATAGAGAAGACTCCGGTAACGAAGCAGCTATAGAGTGGAATCCGAGACGAGGTCGCGGCGTATATTACCGGACAATTCTACTCCGTAGTAGAGCCTATTATGCGGCACTATAGTAAATTCGAAGAGGCAGACTGCGTTAAGATAATTTATAGGTTTATTCCGTACTTGTAGTTACAAAGCAAGCACTCCTAGAACTAGATAGCGACTCGTAGAAATTAGAAAGGCGACGTCGACTCCCCTAACTCCGCTAGGCGATTAGATGCGCGCGTTACTCGTAGCGATCGTAAGGTCTCTGCTATTTCTATGCCGATTGTAACCCTACCTAGCGTCGCAAACTCCTAGCATAATACGGTTATACCGCCTACGACTAAAGGCCTTTACTTCAATAGCGAAAGCGCTAACCGTTTGAAGAAGCCTATTTTTCCTTTAGATATCAAAGACCGGCGTCCTCCCGCCTCGGAAATGTTATTACTTAACGCGGATACCGAAGGCCTTCACTTCAATAGCGAAAGCGCTAACTATTAGAAGAAGGCTATTTTTTTTCTAGACAGCATCTCGGAAATGTTATTACTTTACGCGGATACCGAAGCTAGGGCGAGGTCACCTCTACGCGACCGTAGCACACCTAAGGTCCCTATATAGTTTACGACTTTACTACTACGGGATACGCTCGACAACGACAGATAGAAGCTTCGTATGTCCGACAACTTTAGAGATATGTATAGTCTGAGATAGCGCTAATTAGCCGACCGTCTAGAGATTCCTGTTTATAATCCATCGCGCGAGCGGCATACCTTTCCGCTAGCATTATCTAGTGTAGATAACGAGGAGGATAAAGAGGATAGCGACGAGCAAGAATTAACATTCCCCGATCGCCGCCCTTTTAACGAATATACGTCTATTAAAGTGTTCGCTACTTCTTAGCTTACGGAGCGCACGAAAGAGCAAATAGGGCCTAATGTTTCCCGTAATGCTCTGAATCCCGACTCCTTTATAATAAGCCTCGCAACACTCTTGCCTCTAGGAGGTCGTTTCAAAGGCGCTATAGCCTTAGACCTTACTAAACTCAAGACTAAGGCTTTAAAGAGAATTGCGTTTAATGCCTAGACTAATACACTAATCTAGTACGACCCTCGCGATAGTAGGTTATCCACAATCTTAGATAACGAAGACCTTTAGTCCGCAGTGTCTTACCTCTACCACAATCTGCCGATCTCTATCTATAGAACGGTAACACTCTAGGCCTTGCAGAATGAATCGGCAAGGAGATCCGAGATAGAGAACGAGGTTACGATTAGAAGTTAGAAAATCGTAACTAGCGCTCCCGCGCCTTAGGCATCGAAGGTTACGATTCGCCGTAAGCGCAAGTCGGGAGACAAGCTGATATAGCTATATAAGAAGTAGGAGGCTATACGCCGGTCTTTGTTCCGTTATACCTTACCCGAGCGTATAGCTTAGTGGCCGTATATTAGAAGAGAAGAATCTTAAGCTTTCGAAGAGCATAGGACGCGTAGCGAGTTTGATTAGACTTTAATTAGCGAACTTAGTAATACGGAACAAGAGCCTAGAGCTTTAGAAGAGCATAGGACGCGTAACGAGTTTGATCAGACTTTAATTAACGAACTTAGTAATGCGGAACAAGAGCCTAGAGTTTTAGAAGAGTATACATCGGACATAGACGTTGATTAGCCTTTAATTAACTAACCGGGCAATGCAGGCTAAGAGCCTAAAGCTTTAGAAGAGCACGGAATAAACATAGAGGTTAATTAGACTTTGATTAGCGAGCTAGGCAATACGGAACAAGAGCCTAGAGTTTTAGGAGAGTATATATCGGATATAGACGTTAATCCGCCTTTAATTAACGAATTTAGCAATGCAGGACAAGAGCCCGGAGCTTCAGAAGAGCATGGAATAGATATAGAGGATAGCTCTGGTCCGACGTCCTTACTAGTGCCTAAGCGTAGGCACTTACGTCTGCCCTCCCGATTAATGTTAGCTACTACCGGCATAGAAGATAAGCCGGTAGACTTATTAGAGGAAGAGGAGTTCAGACAAGCGTCTAAGAGTAAAGAGGATGCCGAATTTCTTAATTTTAGAAATAGCGGCGTCGAGGACATAGAAGATAAGGATTTTCACGCGAGTTTCGCTAATCGATCGAAGGAAAAACTCACCTACGCGGATGAAAAGTACCTCTAGCTAATAGCCGACTTTTTAGGCTATAAGGTAAATAACCTTAAGGATCCGCGATTT